GGGGCCAGCCAAGCCCTTCTGCAGCTGTTGAACGGGGGAAAAAGGACCCACGCCGAGACACACTTTTTTTTCCCTCCCTCTCACTTGAAAGTCCAGCCCTATCCTCTTTAAAAGCAGGTGACTCCTCTTGCCGACAGCCTTGGACGTGCTGTCTGTGGTGTGCGGCTCTGCCACTGCTCTGAATTGGCTCCTCCGCCTCCTTTGTGCTCACAAATTAAAAAGGGAAGAAAAAATTGAAACAGCCTATACGAACAACAACAAAAATGTAACATGACATTTCACAGTTACTTTTGGCTGGTCCCTGCTCTACTTGTGTGTGTTCTTCTAGCTCAGACACCCCCACTTAGGACTGGTTTTGATTGAATTTCAAGGATAAACTCAAGTCTTTCTGCTGTTGTTTTAAAAAAGCCTCGGTGGCTCCCCGGCTGCCGTCCCCACACACTGAACACGCCAGAAGTAGCCCGAAGTGATGTTATAATTAGGACAGAAAACTTGTGTGTTACTACAGTCTGTAGCAAGTGCACGCACCTGCTCGTGCGCCGCTGTAGCCCAGCACAGAAGCAGAGACAATTTTTTGCAAGCCTTTTTTTTAAAAAGTGCAAAAAGTATGAAAGAAATGGGAGAAATGCGGCCTTTTGGTTAATAACTCACTCCATGTAATCAATCAGCTGTGCAAGGAGGCATTCTGACTTGAGCAGACAGTTAACCCCTGTGCGGTTCTGAGAACAAGGCATTTTTCTTAACAGTCAATCCTTGCCTCTCAGTGGGTTTGGGAGCCATCACCCTGTGCTGGCTCTGGTTAACTCCCCGGAGGGGCAGCTGTGTCCCCTGCCCCTGTGCCCAGGGCATGTCGTTAGCAGTGGCTGCATTGGCCCTGGTCAGGCAGGGTCCACAGCCCTGCCTGGGTCTCAGAGCTGCCAGGTTTTGATGGAAATGATGAATCCCAGCTGTGTTGTGAGGAGCATTTGCAAGCGCTGAAGCACTCCTTTGCCCCGTTATTTGTGGATATATTCCTGAAGATTTCTTGCTGAGAGAAAACAGCTTTTTCACCTGGAGTGCAGAGCAGCCAGAGCCCAGGCCCTTTTAAGGGTGATCACCATCCACCTTGTCAGACTCCTAACCCCACTGCTGAAGCATCACCTGTACTTTCTGCTCCCACCCCCCCCACCCCTGCTGCCCCAATGTCCCTTCTTTAAGCCTTGAAAGGAGGGATGGTGGTAGCCAAGCTTTGGAGAACAGACCCCCTGCCCCGAGGGTGGCCAGAGAAGGTTGGCAATGGGGAGGGATGCAATGCAGCATCGGGGTTTGACCACCCTGTGCTCCCCAGGGCTGAGGGTGTTCTCTTGCCTGATTTTGCTAGTGGGGGGTATCGGAGACAAGATCTGGGGAGATGTGAAGTGGTGGTTGGTGTGGACTAGGCCGCCATCAACAGGAGCGAGCTGTCCTTCTCTGAGGTGTGAGCTGTGGGCTTTGCTCCCTGCCAGTAACTTTAAAGATTATTTTGGAAACTCCAGCTGTTGGTTTTAGCGGCCCTTTTCATCTTCCCTGTGTAAAATGCTCGGCTGCACACAGCTTGTAGGGCTCACCCTGCCTTGTCCTGTGCTGGGGGGAGGTGTGGTGGGAGGGATCTTCTGCCAGAGGTGCTGAGGTTTGTCCTTGTCCCCCTGTGACAACATTGTCCTTGCTGTTGCAGTGCCCATCTATGTGCCCTTCCTTATCGTTGGATCTGTATTTGTTGCCTTCATCATTTTGGGGTCACTGGTGGCAGCTTGCTGCTGCAGGTGCCTGCGGCCCAAGCAGGAGCCCCAGCAGAGCCGAGCCCCGGGGGGCACCCGCCTGATGGAGACGATCCCCATGATCCCAAGTGCCAGCACCTCCCGGGGGTCCTCCTCCCGCCAGTCCAGCACTGCTGCCAGCTCCAGCTCCAGTGCCAACTCGGGGGCCAGAGCCCCCCCGACCAGGTCGCAGACCAACTGCTGTTTGCCAGAAGGGACCATGAATAACGTCTACGTCAACATGCCGACGAACTTCTCGGTGCTGAACTGCCAGCAGGCTACCCAGATCGTGCCGCACCAGGGGCAGTACCTGCACCCCCAGTACGTGGGCTACGCTGTGCAGCACGACGCGATGCCGCTGACCCCGGTGCCTCCCTTCCTCGACAGTTTGCAGAGCGGCTACAGGCAGATCCAGTCTCCCTACCCACACGCCAACAGCGAGCAGAAGATGTACCCAGCTGTGACGGTGTAGCGCTGACGTCTTCCTCCCCCTCCCTACCCGACAGATTTTTACTATCTAAACTGAACGGAGGAGAAATACTTCCTTGGAATGAAGGTCCCAGAACATCACTTGTAAATAATTTTGAAAGGCTCATTCATGTCAGACAGTGTTTATAAACCATTTATTTTCATCGGGGTCCGTTGCCAGAAACTGTGGGACGGTATCTCTGAATTAACGTTGCCAGATACGCTCTCATTCCAGTGCATGATTTACAGCGGCGAAGGATTACGCTGGGAATGCATATGCATTTCACATCACTGTACTTGTGAGATAAATGCCGGAGCCGTTAAGTGCCCTTCAGGTATGACATGGTCAGAAGTATTTGCCTAATTAATTCATAGAAAGAGTTTTGTTACACTGTACATGACCACAGTACTTTAGAAACCTCTTTTCTCCTCTCCCAGTTGCTTTACAGACAATCACAACCAAGAGCCGAAGAGTGCAATCCCTGCGTGCTGCTGGGTGCTGGTACCAGCCCCCGTGGCTTCTTACGCACCCCTGGTTTGGGGTGAAATGCCACAAAAGGCTTATTCTTGCAAAGACCAATTTTCCTTGTCCCTGGTATTTATGTAGGAATTAGAAGAGTGTGAGTTATTCAGCTCTTCCTTCCAGTGCACTTGAAACCCTTCTTGATTTGGGTTTGCTTCAAGATCAGGACCCAGTGATGGTTTGCACAGACTTTATCTTTGTGAACTTTTTCCTAGAAGCAGGGTGCGAGGTACTTGCTCTTCCTGATGCTCAGCAAAGCTTTTGGTGCAGCTTGCAGTGTCTGAGCTGAGGCTGCCTTTGCAGAGAAAGGTCGTACTGTGACTCCACACGCGCCTGATTTAACCTCACTTCCCATGAAACAGTAAACCCGTGTGAACGCGCACGAAGTTGTCGGCCCCCAAACCCTGTTTGCAGTCGACTCTGACCGAAGGAAATGGGCTTTGTCCCCCTGCCAGCCCGCTCCGAGTCCCCAGCCCTGCTCTGGGGGGGTGGGTGTCATGCAAAGCTGCCCCAGCCTGGGTGTGGGGGGGCTGGCAGAGGGTTGAAACCTGTCCCCTTTTCTTCCTTGCCTGTGGGGCAGGGGACTAGGAAGGCACAGCTGTATTGTTAACAAAAAGGAAAAAGGCCCAACCAAAGGATGAAGGTGCTTGTGGCTCCCTGCAGTGCTGGGGGGACACTTCGCACTGGAGCTGCTGAATGTTCTGCTTTGCTTCGTCTGGGGAAAAATACCTCTCCAGGTTGAAAAGCTACCAATGTGCTGGGAATTATCAGACTGTGCTAACTGTAATATATCACCCCAGATGCGACAAACTATTTAAAGCTGGTTTTGTCTCAAAAAAAACCCCCAAAAAACCGTAGGCTCTGTTTTCCCCTCCGTTTGTTCTTCAGCCAAAATTCCGCAGTGGAGGGCTGAGAGGGCATATACCAAAACCAGGCAATTACTGTCACCAGACCAGAGCTGATAAAAAGTTTCTTGTTTGATACTGTATCAGTATGTAGCAATAACTGTGACACTACTATTTTTTTGTATGTCTGTTTTTAAATTACGCATATGTGCAGGAGCATTGCCAGATGCAATGGTTTACTCGTAAACACGCCACACGCAGGCAGTTGGCAGCAGGCAGAAATGGCTTGACCACTGACGTAGGAAAATGAATAGGTAATTTATCCCAGATCTGCTGTTCCTGCATGCAATCACCCATTCAGCATGTAGGACCTTGGCTTAGGAGACCTGGCTGCTCCTCCGGCCAGGCTGGGTGGCTTTGGCCTGGCATCAGCCAGCTGCTGGAGGGGCTGGGTGATGCCTCAGCTCTGCCTGCTCAGCTCGGGGATCTGTAAAGGCAGCAGGTCCACCAGAGCTTGGTGCTGCCAGGCTTTTGAAGGACCCGACGTGCACTTAGGTCTCATGGGGATTTAGATTTCTACCTGCCCACGTTGCAGCTTGGTCACACTGACCTTCCAAAGCTCTTGGCATTGGGCCTCAGGGCTTAGATGCTTCCAGCTGCTGGTGGCTTTGGCAGAAGCTGGAGGTGCTTGGCCCCCGGTGAGACCCAGCCTGTTACTGTGTGGCCCCACAAGCAGCTCATCCATGTGTTTGTGATCTTTCCCAGCTGTGAACCAAGTCAGCTTTTGCTCTCCCCACCACCAGCGTGCACTGCCTGCCTTGCACATGCCCTGGCGAAGACACCTCCTCTGACCTATGAAATTCAGGTGAATCTCTTTGTATAGTGTTTACTTGTTTAAAAAAAAAAAGAAAAAAGAAAAAAAGAATAAGTTAAATTTAAGTCTGTAGAAATTAATTTACAACTGAAGGCAGAAAGACCCGAGTTGTAATAAAAAAAAGCAAGTTTGTGAGATGTGGTGGGTTTTTTTATGTCATGTACAATAATGTAAAACCAATGTTACCATTTGATATAGCTTTTAAATCTCCAAAAGGGCACTTGCTTTAAAGTGTTTCTTACAATTGAAGAAAAAAGTCCCCTTTGTTTCTTAATAAATACTTTATGGTGTGACTTTTCTGTTTGCTTTGTTACAGTTTTCTTTCTTCAGTTAATGCTTTACTTTCCTCTGTCTGCAAGAGCACATCTGACCAGTCCAGTTCTGCAGACCCCGTCAAAAAGCAAAGTTAGGAGTTTTGGCTGTGTTTTTAAAGAATAACAGTAAAGCAACAACTTAGGTGGCTGAACGCCGTGCACCAGTGGGTGGTGACTGAGGAGGCTCATTTGGAGGGAAGGGGAGCAGGGAGAGGGCATCTGAGCACCAGGTGAGCTGGAGGCCCCTCGTGTCCCCACAGCACTGTCAGGCTCCTCCTTTCCAAATAATGCCAAATACTTCACAGCAAACGGCATTTTCAGAGGATTTTGGGTTCAGTTGAATTCACAGTTACCAGCAAAGCATTTTGAGCACGTAACTCAGTATGCAGCCGTGCTGCTCCCACCTCTCTCTGCACTGGGACCCTTCTCACTTGAGCAAACTGTCGTCATAAGGGAGACAAAAAACAAGCCCCCGTTGTGCCAGGGGGCTTAACTCAGTCTGGAGCAAGGGCACTTTGCTTTCCTGGTGTTTGCTCCCTCCAGTTGTTGGTGATGCCAGCACCGGCACTGCTGATGCTGTGCTGCTGCGAGGCCAAGCAGGCTGCTGGGGTGAGCAGAAGGGGCACAGATGGGAAATTTGGCCTTGTTGGATTTGCATGTTTGTAGCACAAATAAATAAGAAAGAATGGTCTGAGAAAAACATAGCCTTGGTCAGTCTGTATGTGGTTCATCCCAAAATGCCATGGCTTCCTGGTGGCCGGGGGAGGTGAAGGAGCAGGGCTGGAAGGAGAAAGCTGGCAGGGAAGGAGGGGTCAGCCATGGCTTAGAGCAGATGTGTGGAGGTGATGAGCACTTCACAGCAGGAGAGGCCAATAGTCTGTATCATAACTTTTTATTTTGCATTAGTATATGGGCCGTGTTGGGGTTTTTTTGTTGTTTTGTTTTTTTTTTTTCCCTTGGCAATGGTTGAGAGGAGGAGGGTGGTTGGTTGGTTGGTTTTTTTCCTACTGCACTTGCTGACTGGGGATGGCATGGGGAAAGAGAGCATGGAAACTTGCTGATGAACTCTATGAGGAAGCACAAGTAGGTTGTTTGGTTTTTTTTTCCCCTCTTAATGGAGACAAGATGCATTTATCTACTTTTTATAGGCTAGAGTGCTAGTTGAGACCAAGGACAAGAAGGACAAGGCCCACATGTAATATGCTGACTTCAAAGCCCTGGTGCAGTGCTGCTGCGGAGTGCTTCACTCCTGCTCAGCCACAGGAGCAGGATGCACCAGGACAGCCCAGGGACCAGCTGGGACCAGGATGGACACGGTTGCTCTCAGGTGCTGAGATGAACATACATCTGTACTTTACAAGAGCCAGTCTTCCCCTTTTCTGTTTCTTTTTTAATGCAAAAGCCTAAAATCCGAGGACTAAGAAAAACACAGCCGCACTTCTAAACTTGCTGTGCAGCCTGTAAATACATTTTTAGCCTTATATGGCTGTAAGAAGCAATGGAAACACTCCTGAAGTCACTTCACCCATCCTGCAGCCCTAGCCGAGTGCTCCCTGTGGGGCTCTCCGTGGCAGGTCCTGCAGCTCGATGTGGGATGACTCATGGCTCGGAAAACCTGCCCTGAGAGGCCTTTTTGCTTGCTCAATTTCATCCCATGACTCAGCTCCATCTTCCCAGACTGCCCTAAACAATTCCTCTTTTTTCCTGCTGTTTACATTTATGTTCTCACTTACTTGCACTTTAAAGTGCTTTTCCAGTGCCTGTTTCTGAATACATTGCTACCTGTTTATGGCACTGAAGTGGTCAGTACTTTGCCATCCCACGGTGTGGATGGTGAGCTGTAATGGTGCTGGGGAGAAGCCAGCAAAGCACACACAGGCTGGGCTGGCGCTGGTTTGCCCATGACACACCTCAGCACGCTGCTGTTGTCCTCGCACGGGGAACGGTGGGGACAGTGGTGTCCCCAAGGCAGCTGCAGGCAATCCCACCGGGCTCAGTGCTGGCTCAGAGCAAGACAGGGTCTGGCTGACCCACAGCGACCAAACCACTGAGCCATGAACAGGAACAGCACAAAACCATCACCAGCAGCACCACCCCCTCACAACACCCACATGGAGAACCACTTTGAAATGTCTTAACCCATTAGCTGGGCACAGTCAGAGGACAAAGCCCGTCCCGCCCATTAGCAGGAGGTTTGCATGCCCCCACACAGCCATCGCCGTGTTCATTAGGGGAAAGCTGCGCTTGGTGCAATTAGAGGCTGTGGCTTAAATGTGGCCCATAATGCCCACAGGAGAGCGAGTTGGGGTTTAGGGCCCAGCTCAGCACATCAACCTCAGCACCTCCCTTTCAAAAATATCTAATTTGCTGTTTGCTTTCAATCTTGCTGGAGCTCTTCTTTCCCCGGCGGATTTTCTGCTTTCCTGTCCTTTTCCTCCCACTGCAATTGTTACTAAATATTATTCCCCACATGTATTCCCTTGTATTTTTCCAAGCTGAATCTCATTTTATTGTTTCCTGCTCATATTTCTTGCTTCTCTGTAGGTCCCTTTGTATTATTTCTCTCTTCTCAGTGGGGTTTGCAACATTTTCCTGCCCAGGATCACTTGCACATGGACTGAACAAGTCACTTAAGCCTGTGCCATCCTTTCTGCTCTTCCCCATCTGCACTGAATGGAGCCAGTTCAGTGGGACCCTGCCCTCCCTGGGGACTCATAGTGTCCCCTGTCCTGCAGCAGAACATTTAATCCCTGTGACTGTATTTCTGTGCAACCTCAATGGCCAGAT